TGGATCAATCTATTTCTGCATTTATTTATTTATTTATCAATTTATTTATTTATTATATATCTAAAACATACGTATGCATCATCATATATATTTCATTCATGGTGTATATATAATGCATGATATATATGATATATATAGTGTGCATATATTTATATGCACATACACAAAAACAATAGAAAGTATATTAATATCCACAGGACATGCTGAGAGACTTCGAAATAAGCTGCTATAAAATGGTCTGAGGCAAAATTATGCAATCCATGTCTTTCTTGCTCATCCTGACCTACTATTAGCATTAGTGAATTTTATTCCTAACTTCTATGTATTTTCCTGTCCAGTCCATTTTCTAATCATAGAATCATAGAATGGTTAAGGTGGCAAGGGACCTTAAAGATCATCAGGTTTCAAACTCCCTGCCTGGGCTGGGATACCTCCCACTAGACCAGCCTCATCCAACCTGGCCTTAACACCTCCAAGGCAGGGGCTTCTACAACCTCTCTGGGAGAACTATTACAGTGCCTTACTACCCTCATGGTGAAGAATTTCTTCTTAATATCTAACCTAAATCTCCCCTCCCTCAGTTTAAGACCATTACCCCTTGTCCTATCACTATATTCTCTGATGAAAAGCTCCCTTCAGGTACTGGAAGGCCACTATAAGGTCTGCTCAGAGCCTTTTCTTCTCCAGGCTCAACAGCCCCAACTCCCTCAGCCTGTCTTCATAGCAGAGGTGCTCCAGCCCTCTGATATCTTGGTGGACCTTCCCCAACAGCTCCCTGTCTTTCCTGTACTGAGGGCTCCAGAGCTGTACGCAGTACTCCAGAGCAGAGGGGCAGAATCCCCCTCTGGCCCTGCTGGCCACGCTTCTTTTGATGCAGCCCAGGATGCAGTTACTCTACGCACTGCATACACACACTGGTGGCTCATGTCGATCTTCTCAGCTACTACCACCTCCAAGTCCTTTTCTTATGGACTGTTCTCTATCTGTTCTCCCTCCAGCCTGTATTTGTGTCTGGGGTTGCGCTGACCAAGGTGCAGGACCTTGCACTTGGCCTTGTTGAACTTCAGGAGCATCCCGAGTCTGACCTTAACTAGACACTATATTCACGTTCAACCACAGAGAACATAATTAAGTTAATGCAACTCTCATCTGTTTACTTTTCTCCGAACATGGTGCTTCCTTTCAGACAGCACTTTCTAATTGCACTGTGGCAATACCCATCAAAATGCCATTTTGTTATGTTACCTAGAGGCAGCCTGCACTGTTCTTTCTTTTTTTTTTTATTACCAAAGCCACCAAGAAATTAAGCCTCTGGGTTTGTTTTGTGGTGTTTGTTTTTTTTTAACAGCTCTATATGTACAATGTTGCTTATTTCATAGTGTTGCTTATGCTCTACGAAGACTTGGATAATGCAGTATCAGCAGTGTTTGTCTACTTACACAAGAAGGCATTTCTAAGGCATGTGGAGCACGTGGAGATGATTGGTGGCGACCAAGGTGGCTTCACCAAGGGCCAATCATCCCTGACAAATTCGGTGGCCTTTTACGATGGGTCACAGCATTGGTGGATAAGGGAAGAGCAACCGACATCACCTGCCTGGACTTCTGCAAAGCATTCAGCCCTGTCCCGCATGACACCCTGGTCTCTACGTTGGCAAGATATGGACGGACAGCTCAGCAGATAAGGAGTTGGCTGGTGAGGGGGGGAGGGAACTAGACGGATCTTTAAGGTTTCTTTCTACCCAAACCGTACGGTTCTATGGCTCTCCCCAGGAGGGCCCGGACAGGGCAGCACTGAGAAGCTGCCACCACCCTCATCAAGGTGAGCTGCTCCCTCTCCCTCCCGCTGCTCCCCGGAGCCGCTCTCAGCAAGACCCCCC